TGGTCTGTTAAGAACGGCATCCAATTTAACGTCTCCAAATGCAAGGTGATTCCACTACGCCACCATGAGCGGTTTCCTTATGTTCTCGGAAACGAATTACTGCCTCATGCATCGACAGAGAAGCACTTGGGTTTGATAGTCCACGAAGATCTGAGCTGTTCTATTAACTGTACCAGGACATTATCAACAGTACTCAAACATGTCGGTCTACTTAAACGTGTTTTCGGTCGTTTTGAACCATCTTTGTTCTCACGTCTGCTGTCAGCATACATCCGGCTGCATATTGAGTATGCCATCCGAACTTGGATCCATAGTTACAACCTGATCATTCACCAAGGCTCGTCACGAATATGGTCAAAGGACTCTATTATGATTCAAACATGGGAAGACTTCAGTCATTCGGTCTAGACTCTGCTCAGTATCGTCGGATTCGAGGAGATTTAATTTTAGTGTACCAAATATTACACAACCCTAACCACCCTTGTCGCCGACTTTTGACGTTTTCATCAAATGTGCATCTACGGGGATATCAATTCGAATCACTAATCCCAAAATCTCGACTGGATTGTCGACGTCATTCTTTCACCGTCAGAGTGCGCACTGCCTGGATGCCTAAACATCCTATTGTCGTGGTTTGGCCAACAGAGGGGCCTTCGGCTCTATCGATTGACCCGCACTGTGGAAATAATTGTGGATATATGGAGTACCCGAGAAGTATGGTTTACTCCGTAAATGGCTGAATCGCCAGACCTCGGGGACGGTGTGGGGCCTATGGTGAACGTTCACCCTCATTTCCTGTCATTAAGTGGGTGCGACAGGTTCGCCCTATTTCGCTGTTTCTCTTCAACTTTGCCGTAGATGATGTTATACACAATGCGTTACACAACGTTGCGAACGCTAGCATTGAGCAAACAAAAACATGATATTCTCCAAAGTTGACTGCTTCGATTTTCCCCGCTTCTGTTCCTATATTGCTCGTTCCACTATGGTTATTTTGGCGCCACATCTGTAGAGTAGTGTTATATATATATATATATATGTCTTTCAAGGAGGACTCCAAGACCATTCGTCTTGGCGTGATGACAATCAGTTATATATATATATATCTGTATATATAGTTATATATATTTGTATATATATATATAAATATATATATTTATATATATATATCAGTTATATATAAGTCATATTTTCCTAATTCAATCTCGACCGTCAACGATGCTGCCGCGACGGCAGACAGTGTGTATTCAATGCGATCAGTTGTGAACATCATGCATCTCAGCACAGCGACCCGTTTGCATTGACAGTAATGAAAGTTGTTTCACACTTTATAGGGGAGCATAAAGCTGCTGCAGTGTGACGGATGGTGTGGTGTAACCCGGACAGTATGAGACACTTGCCAGACATTGCACCTTCTTCTACTTCAAACTGTATGTTCAAAGTTTTACCATAGTACCGACGTATGGTGACATTTGTTCGACACGATTGCCAGATACTGTACCCTCGGGTGCCCACACTTTCAAAATTCGCTATCGATCTGTCTACATGCTGTCGCGCTCGCTGTTCCTTGTTGCCTTCGTGGCGCCTGGCTCCAAGGCACTATCTACTTACTAGCGTTGCAAAAGCCAAGACACGAAGACCCGAAACCCGAAACCCATTCGATTCAGTCACCGAAGTGAACAAAAAAGCACTTTCTTCACAGAAAAATGTACAAATTAGGAATAGACAGAGAGAGAAACAAAGAGGAGGAAAATATTTTGTCGGGAATGCGAGGCTCCAAAGTTCCTCTCACGGCCGAGCGAAATGTGTACGGAAGTCCAATAACTATTCACTTGTACTCGCTGTCCCCGTAAAAAGTGAACGCTTCACATCCGAAAAGGAAGTAAGCATGTTTGGTAATCTCAAAAATGTCGACATCGCATGAAACATCGCTGACCGACACATAAACGCACACAAACACGACCACGACCGCGACCACGACGACGACGGCGAGCCGGACTGAGCACGGACACCTCATCTTCTCCGCTCTGCATCACAACATTACCAACAGACGCATTCGTATCATCCCACTGCAAACTTACGTCGGGAGAGGAGAGCTATATGCTCCCGAGCGTGTCCCCAGTTCGTGGATAGGGGAACGGCTGCCATCTCTGAGTTAACCGTGAATAAGTTAGGATTCGACTTGCCAAATAAGCGATCGCGGACGATCAGCGGCAGCGTTCGAGGATGTAGTAGGTTTACCCCTGGCAAAACAAAACACCACATACATCTGTGGACAACGCTGTGACGTGGCGAGTGTGGCCCGCCACTGAGCAGGTCCGGTCCTCGCGTGAGTAGCAGACCCGCGAGGAGCAGGCTGGGTTTTGCGCCAATCATTGATGCATCGATCAAATGTTCACCCTCTGACAGCAGCTGGAGCACAATCTTGCATATTAAACATCACAGATCATTGTATTCCTAGACATCTGCTCGGCCTTCGACTCTGTCAATAGGACCGCACTATGGAACTGTTTGTTGGGGAATGAAGCATATGACAAGTATGTTTATTCCGAATATGAACTGTTGAATCAACATTGATCCTTCAGTTTTCTTCCGTGGAACATTAGAATACTCCCAAGATCGTACTGCTCGGTTTAATCGCGAAACAAACTGCTTCAGTGGCTCCCCATTTTCGTGAATAATGCGAGAGAATCGAAATCGAGCAGTGAACAGAGTCAGTTGCGATCCCACGGAACGGTCCAAGCTGTTGAGAGCAGATTGTACGTTGGGTCACGCTTGTGAATTGAGATGGTCAAATCTTCGCTGTCCTTCGTCTCCGAGAAAATGACGCAAAAGCCTTAACTTGTGGCTTTCATCCAGAACAATCAATGGGCTTAGCACAGGAAAGAGATCGACATAATTGTGAAACGAAGTTTTACGTTGTTCCCAGGACTCCGGACTCGGTTGAATGTTACGGTCTATCCAAAATGGAGCCTGTGGAGTATTTCCTGAACTCATGTTCCGACGCCAAATGTTGTGCTCAATGAAACTGGTAATCTGCAAGTAAGTAAATCCTCTGAATCAG